GGGCAAGTGGCAGCAGGACATAGCTCCCACTCCCAGTGCTGCCACACCAGCATCCCATGCCTCCCCCCCCGCAGCATAGGATGTGTTCAGCATCACCTGCTGGCTTGAAGAATTACATGAAGGGGGTCATTGAGCCTGGCTGTCCTGTATACAGTGTCATATTCTTGTACACTGGTCCAAAAGCTGGAGAGCAAATCTTACATTTTGTGACTTGTTACCCTTATGGAAAACAAGAGTCATACAGAGACCCTCTTTGGAATGTGGTAGTCTTTCAAAGTAGCATAACTCCAATAGTCATCCTGCCTCCCCACTTCTGACTAACACAGCTAATTACATCTCCAGGCAAAAGGCTGCTTACAGACATAAAAAACCCCCCCACAAAAACAAAAGAATACCACATTTTACTAGAAGAAGCAGAGTTTTAGTTCAACCTGGCTCCGCAACATCTGTATAATCAGGCACTTCAGTGGGCCTTTTTGGCACTTTTATCTAAAGCAGATTCAATCAGCTATTAAATAAGTGCCAAAAAAGCTTCACTAAAAGCACCCGATCTATACAGACATTGGGCGAGCCAGGTCCAACTAATGCACTGATTCTTCTGGCCATGCACTGGGCTCAGTGCAGAAGTGCACAGAGTTTAAATGTGGCCTGTGGCAGTGAAGCATGACTTAAGTGCCATTTAAAAAAAAAAATTTAACGTCTATAAGCAGCCAAAATTACCTTTTTCTTAAATTCCTAGGATACAAAGAATGGATGATGAAAGGGAAAGGGATCCCCATCACTGAATTTTGCCTCGTCCACATATTTTCTCACGTCTAAATAATGACTGCAATGACAGAGACTTGAACAGAAAAATAAATATAGTTTATGGTACAAGATGACTGCACTATATCAATCAAGCAGTAATTCAAAATGTGATCTGACACCAAAAGGAAGAATGACCAGAATGGTTCCTAAACAAGAGATATAAATTAGTGAAAGGAAAAAGACGATAAGAAGGGGAGGTTAAAAGAAGGGACAGAGAAGGATCGTCTCTGACTCAGATAATATTAAAAATTAAAATAGAAATTAAAATTAGAATTAGGAGTCTACAATTCTATCTTGGGACTTAATGTACTACATAAACTCAAGATTTTCTCTTGTGTATTTTGACATCTTCAAAAACTTTGATCAAAATTAATCTCATAATTCAGTCCTATGTTATTCATAATCCTGGAACCAAAAATTTCCTGGGAAAATGTATTAGTATTCAGTATTTAGAATTCCTCTAACACAGTTAAGATGATAAACAACTATTCTAGAAGATCAACTTGCTAATACTAAAACCTGCTAAATGTTACCAAAATGAAGTCCATCAAATCTGAATATTCAGGATCATTGGGATCAATCTTGATTTTCTTGGCCCATTCAGTAAGTTTCTGTGTGTCAGTGAACCACAAAATTCCAGTAGCTATTTCTTCATCTATATTTCTCGGTATTCTACAACAAAACCATTCAGCATTAATTGGTGAATTTTAATTTTATTTCTTTTCTGACAATCTTCTAGATATCTACATTTTATTATTACCTGTAAGAAACAGAGTTTATTGGCTGAAGTATAGATGCTAAGGGAATATTTCCTTCATCAACTCTCCAGGATAAGGAATACATTAGTTTACCAGACATCACAGGATACAGTTCTTCATTTTCATCGAGAATAAATGGTACATCTGTAAATTTAAAGTTTTTGAAAGGAAATACAAATCCAAGACCTGTTACATTTAAAAAAGTTTATTAGATCAACATTTCCCAAATTTTGGAAAGCTGTGACCTTCAGCAAAATGGATGCCCCCACACACAACCTGCAACCCTGTCATGCACTGTTAAAGGCTTGCCCATCTTAATTAAAATGTATTTTACATTCCCCAGGATGGTGCTTTACATTCCCAAGTCAAGATTGCATTTGCTTAAGTGATTTCCCAAATGAGGAAGATGCTTTCATGAATTGAGGGCTAGAGGAGGAAAGCACTCTTCACCCATATTTTCTGGGAGTATACACAGTCCTTAAGCAGATCTAGCAAAAAAGTTCCTGACAGTGCCAACAGAGGTACAGCAATCTGTTCCTCACTCCAGCAGATCAGAGACTGAAGGGAGATTCTTTGGGGAGGGGGGCAACCCTAATCCCAATCCTTTAGCTATATTGCTTAAGTGTTCCTTGATTTCACATTCAAATTCTGCATCAGAAGACACTTTTTTCTTCTTCTTTAAGAAAAGAATAACTGGACACAAAAACATGAACACTCTTTTTTAGGAAATCCCAGAGGAATTGAAAGCCTTCTGAAAAGATTTAGTAACTAAGAAGTACATGGATACTTTATGAGCCAGAAAAAACGGCACAAAGGGTTATTAAAATCCTTGATTTGTAAACATCTTAAAGCACCTCTTCCATCAACATCCAAGGATAGTCAAAAACAATCTCTTCCCACCAGGTGAGGTGTAAGTGCTGATTCATCTTTCACTGCTGTTGCTTCAGAGAGAGCCTTGGCCTTCACAGATCTTCTACCCCCATTTAGACAATCTGAGCAGACTGGTTTTGTCTTTCACAACTCCTGAAAATAGCTTCAGATACTGTTTCACTGCTCTGAAATCAGCTTCTTTTATAGGAATATAGGACTGGAAGAAATCTCAAGAACTTCAAACCCGTACAAAACCCAACAAATAACTTTAATAAAATTTCCATTTTCAGACCAGTTCAGTCTTTGCTCCTAGCATGCCTATTAAACTGTTCCAAAACCACACTCCTTGGATAATTAAAAACCTTCTAACATCCAGGCTTAGTTTACTAAAAGTGAGTTCACACCCATTTGTTCTTGTGCCAATAGCATCCTTTAACTTAAACAGACACGATGGTCATCCTATGTTTGTCCTGGATGAGACAAGACTCAAACAGAAACAGCAGAAGAGAAGGGCAATAAAATCCTGGATAGTTAAATATCATCATCTTGCTTCTCAAAAAAAGGAAGAACCAACAAGTGTTGGTGCTTCCTGAGCAGTTTATCAACTCTTATTGAAGCATTATTCAAAGAGTAAGTCTACCCTCAATTCAAAGTCAGGACCACAGTTTGTGTAAAATTATCCAAACTGGGTTTAAAGCAGCTAGCTTGGATACAGATAACCAGTGCAACACAAGGTTTAACTTAGGCTTTAAAACACACCTAGGATCCTAGGTAAACTCTTGTAAAGCTATCCTACATTGAGCTCAATGCTGTCATGGCTAGACAGCTATCATTATCCTAGGGTAGCTAGGTTAGAGCTAATGCAGCTATCTCTATGCAAGATCCAAATTACACTTTTGGATTACAATGTAGACATGCTCAAATAATTTTAAATTTTATTTCCCTA